TTTGCTGCTTCTTTTGAGCTTTTGCTAGTTTCTCTGCTGCAGCAATAGGACATCCCGAAAGACTGATAAAATAAAAATGTGATGGTTATTCACAAAGGCATATCGAAAAATGCAGATTTCTAAACATAAAACCTACCTAGATCTTACTTTTTAGGCAGTGCTGCATAATCTAAAAACAAAATTATTGCATGTGAATATATATATTATATGCAACTTGTACATGCATATAAACATCCACATAATATCCTTGCCACATGGTTATATATATCTATATATATATATAGAGAGAGAGAGAGAGAGAGAGAGAGAGATATTTAGAGAGATAGATATAATTTTTTAAACTAATTTCCCTCTACCCAACATTGCCTTCTCCTAAGGCCTGTTCCACATTGTAAATGTGGAATTGTAACAATGATAACATAGGTCAAGATTTTGGATTTCCAAATTCTACAAAATAGAGACAAGGAGATGACAAAACATATTATGTCTTAGAAAATGTTTTGACTCTGCAATACTCTTCTCCTGCTAGAAAAAAATAAATATATACTGCAGCTTACTTGAAGGGCAACAGTCAGGAAAAAGTTTTTGCTTTGTGCCAGAAAATTCTCTAGATCACACATTTTTTGATCTTGTTATATGACAAAGTGAAAGTTTTCAGTAGTTGAAGAAAGCCTAGTAAGCAGCAGTAGTCATCTGCGTAATTCTGGTGGGACAGGCAGAAAGTGCTGCAGTAGTAGAAGTGGCCGTCTGTAGCAGTTCCAGAGACGCTGTGCCTACCTTCTGTGAGAGTTCCTGTTACTGTTTACATGGCCTCTCCCGGTGCAACCTGGTGTAGGGCACTTTAGAACATTTTCATGCATGGCGAGAACTTGGCAGAGAAAGAAAGCAAACAAAACAGGGAAATTACTAAAAAAGGAATGCATTAAAACTTTCATCCAACAATTAATCTGTAGTTGAGTTGTAATCACTACTGATCACTTTATATTTCTCATAGGAGTGCATAGAGATTATTGTACATACTGTATAATCATTTACATTTAGCTTTAATTAAACATCTCTATGAGTCACTTAAAGCTGAACTTCAGGCAGATACAAAAAGGGTACAAAATGAATGCAGCTCTGTAATCATTAAAACATAATTTATATATTTGTTAAATGCAAGCAGTGTAAGCATCTGAATTCGACCCAGTATCAACTTATTGAAGTCCCTGTACAGCAGAGTTCAGGGAGGGGGAAGCAGCACATGGAGCCAATCCAGTTTGCTGCAAGACAAGCCCTCATGGGCAGGGCCCTCCTTCCCATCTTTTCTTGAATTGTATTGTAATTATAATGTCTTCCCCTGTAAAGCACTGCACAAACTGTTGGAGCTATATAAATCCTGTATTATAACAATAATAAAAATAATATGCTGATAGGAGGAAAAGGCAGAGTGACAGAGAGATGGGCTCACTGTGCTGCTTCTCCTTTCACTGTCCAGTTACACAGTGGCAGTGGAGAGGAGACCTGTAAGTAATTGTGAAACTGCAGCACAGAAAGATCAGATTCCTAGGCTGGACTCTGGGCAAATTAAATCTTATTTTCAAACCCTGCACTTCAATAGTATAAGTGCTCATTTTGTCTAGGGAGCTAAAATAAAGTTTGATCCCGGCTTGCTTTTAGACCAGTCTCTTAAGCCTTGCTCCCCTTCCGCTCCAGTGGTCTAACGTCGCATGAGTCATCAGGTTCTATACAGTATATAGAATGTGAAGACGCTAAGGGATATAGCATCACTGCAGCCACAGTGCGGTCTAAGAGCAAGCCAGGATCTTCGTTGGGGTGGGTATAACCTTGTGTCAGCACTCATAAACTGTTAGAGAAAGGTTTAACTTTTACAATCTGCAATTTGTTAGGCATATTTAACGCCAAAACCTTTTTTTTTGGTTTTGGTTAGATTGGTGAGGGGGTTCGAATCTTTGTGATGTTTTCATTGCTGTGTCCCTGCTAGGGAGATTCACCATCTCTATTTGTCCTGGTGACTGGAAGGAAAACCCCGAAAAATAATAGAAATAAAGGTGGACTCTTCCAACGGGGACACTTGTTCCCTTTAAAACTATTTAATTAAAATTTTCCTCTCATTTCCTTTTATTCCTTTTTTCTCTATTTCCACTCTAAAAAAAATAAGTTTTGGCTTTAGATATACTTTAAATTTAGTTTGTTTTCTCCACAGTCCCCCTTACATCAGTCCATTTGAAAGCATCTACATTTTATCTACTCTTATCACATGCCTTTTATTTACATTTTGTTTGTATTCTCTTGTATTGTTTGTATTTTTTTTTTTTTAATTGATGCTTAAAAAATTCACAGCCAGAAAAATGTTTCTATTTTCTGAATGGTATGGTCAGGCAAGCATTTATTACCTAGCTTATAAAGACAACATCTGTTTTATTGTGATCAAAGTTTCAATATGAATTATGTCCCCCAATGCACAAGCATGGTGGGATGATCGACTCCAAAAAAGCCACATGCAGCATTTGTTGCCATGAATCGCTCTCCCCTATGCTGGTATGTTTGGGAGAGAAATTCATACTGAAGCTCATGCTGAGCTAATTGCAGGTTTCTCTGCTCAGCATGGAGAATAGACAATGCGTTATTCAATTATCAAAATTGCAGTCTCTAAAAACAGTTGTCTAACTTTGTCCTTATGGAAAAGCACATAAAAAAGGCACGTTTAGAAACTTTTATCTGAGTGTTTGTGTATTTCACTGTGTGCCACCGCAGTCAAAATATTGCAATCATTACTTTAAAAAAAAATGCAAACCAATCTAAATGCATAAAGGCTCCATATGAACAGACCCATTGTAAAACATTAGAAAAAACAAACTTATGCCACTATCTCTGAGTCCTAAATAATTATACTGCTGCAAAAGTAAATGAAAGGTATTTCTGGAATAATTTAATGTAGGGATGCACTGATACCGGTTTTCCAGTAACGAGTACGAGTACAGATATTTATCTTTCGGTACTGGTACTTACGCTAGCATGGACCTGGCTTCCCCATGCATGATTGCCTGGGAAGCCGATCCATGCTGTTTGGCCAATTCGATGCTGATAGGCCTGGGAAGCCGGCTTCCCAGCCAATCAAGATTGAGCCGGCCAAATAGCATGAAACAGGCTTCCTGGCCAAACAGCATCGAGCAGGCTGCTTGATCGGCTTGATGCTGATTGACTGGGAAGCTGACTTCCCAGTCAATCAGCATCGAGTCGCCCAAAAAGCATGGAGCTGGCTTCTCGGCCAATAAGGAAGCCGGAGGAGAGCACTTACCCACCACCCAGCTTCCTAATTGGCCGTGAATCTGACTCCATGCTGTTTGGCCGGCTTCATGCTGATTGGCTGGGAAGCTGGCTCCATGTTCCCTCATGGCAAATCTCCCTCTGACCGGAAGTTCCGGAATCGGAGGCAAGTATTGGAGCATTTGGGCGAGTATGAGTATTCGCCCAAATACTCGGTATCAACACCGATATCGATACTAGTATCGGTATCGGTGCATCCCTAAATTAAAGACCTGGACACTAAGTACTGCTGTATGCCTGCATGAGAGTAACGATCAGACTGCCATGTAGTATGAGTGGATCTTGAACACGGATATCACAATTGAACATCACGGTAGTCTATATCTCCCATGAAAAAAATGTGCTGCAGCACTCAATTTTAAGTGCATATGCACTTATAGCTTTCTCTTAGTCCCCCTACAAAATCCCACCAATACCTTCTTGTGATGGTGTGGCAACAATGCTGCACTGCTTCTGAATTCAGAGCAAAGTTGCCACTCTCATGTAGGCTGTGACTGCATTGCAATGGGATAACAAGATGTTGCAGGGGGAGTGCCTATCAGCATTGTCACTGCTGATTCACAAGCCTATAGCTTTTCAGTTAGCCCCTGGCCACACCTATGATACCACATTTGATAATAAAACCCTCCCACGGTGAGCTGCAGTGTCTGGGAGGGGGAGTTTGTGAGACACAAATAAAGGAGGATTTTACTCACTCAAAGAAGGTATTAAGTTTTTTTTTTTTTTTTTTTTATAAGGCTTGTGCATCACATAACTGGATGCTGGACTTGTTTAGACTGTCATACAGGAGGTTTTACATGTGCCTTACACCTACATTGATTTTTTTCATAAAACCCATTTCTTTGTGTAAAAATTATGTAAGTAAGATAGATGTAACATGATGTAAATGTACAAAATGTAAAACACAGGTAAAATTGCAGAGCAAATAACGAAAAAGGATTGCCACTGGTGTCACGTGCCATTGGGCAACTGGAATTGAAGAGAAATCTTCCTTACTGAGACACAGACAACAACAAAATGTTGACAGTAGTTCTAGCCCATCCCTACTCTGCTCAAAATACATATAAAGTTGCACCTTAAAGCGTTCCTAAGTACACTTGGCTGCTGAGCTGGCCAAACTATCATTCATATGGCAGGTTCATTTAAAAGGGGTTATAAATAATGTTAGCATTGTAACCGCTGGCTGTCAGTTAGTATTAGACTAGTATATGTACCAAAAAAATCAAAGGGGAATACACTAACAGGGTTATTCACAAAAGGGTGAAGAGTTTGCAGAAGGCAGGAGAAGTGAACAATCTAGGACAACATAGCTGAACTGGAAACATTATCCAATGCAGCTCACTTTCCAGTTCAGTTATGTTGTCCTAGATTGTTCACTTCTACTGCCTTCTCTACACTCTTCACCCTTTTGTGAATAACTCTGTTTATTCTACCTAGAAATTACAGACAGATGGCAACTATGACACACAAATGCCATTTACCTGACTTAATTGTACTGTTCTTTCATATATAGATAAATATTTACAAAATACATTTATATTGAAAAAAAGCTTTAAAAAAAGCAGTGTACTTTGAGAGCTTATCTAGGGGGAAGAAAGTGTTGAGGGTCTATATAGCCAAATCATTTTGCCTTCAACCATCCTAGAAGAGCTGGAACAGGCAGTGCTTACAGTACACAGCGTAACACTGTATTCATTGTGCTGGCTGCTCCACATCAATGCATGTACTTGTTGATGCTTAAAGGAGAATTATGGGGAGAGTGAATTACACTGAAACTGTCACACATCGGCTCTTTTGATCGGGAACTGAGCGATAACATACCGCCGATTCCTCAGTTCCCGATCATCTCCCTGAAGAGAGTGGCGACTGTCAGTCATCACTTCCTACAGTGATTCCCTCCTCCCCTCTCTATTACTCCAGCACTGACTGGAGGAACTCATGAGTGGGCGGGTACAGCTGGCTTTGCCTCTAGAAAGGCAGAGCCAGCTGTCAATCAGGCAGCAGGGTGGATCTCGACAATATTGTCGGGATCCGTTCTGGCTGTAGCGCGGCTCTGCACTGTCAGCTTATAGAGGGGAATAGCCCACTATATGCTGAGTTTTGGGTCACAGGAGGACATTAGTATATAGTATATCCTCCAGTGACCCTAAGGAGAACTATGGCAAAAAAAGTTGGGCCATAGTTCTCTTTTAAAGTGAAATTCCAAGCTTTCAGCTAAATACAAAAAAAAGTTAGTTATAGTTTTGTTTAGCCAGCTTTGTGATTTACACATCCTTGCCATCCTGCGTATCCAGGAAGATCATTCCACCATTTTCTGGTTCAGTTTAATGGCTTCCTACCTTATTAGAAGTCAAACAGATTTATTGTCCTATGAGCTGAGTGGAGGGGCAGAAGTGACACTGGAAGCTACAAGGGTGAATCAGGAAATAGGGGTTTCACCTATCTGGCAATTTATCAAGGTGTATGTATAAAATAATACAACTGGATTAACAGAACATCTAACCATTAGCTGTTCTGTTCATTAGGCCGGTAATATGGTGCACATATACAGTATGTATTTTAACTTCATATTTAGCGTTTTGCCTTAAGTTCCACTTTAGTAATAAAATATATCTATAGACTGGTAGCATCAGGGCTGTCAATACATTTTGTGTTCTTAGGAATACAAAGTGAAAAGGACAAAGTATAGATGTCAATGATAATAATGAACAGTGGGCAACCCTACACCACGTCCCTCAAGTTCCACAGTTGCTCTGTAGATCTGGTTTGAATCTTGTCCATAATCCAATTGCCTCTACAACTTACTTTCTGGAGGTACCCTGTCTTTGTGCGGGCAACCTGATAAACTCCGGTGGTGAGGATATAATCCAGTCACATGACCTGTTCCATCGCAGCCGGGGGTAGGGCATTTGCTTTCTTTCTTCTCTGATCGTGAAGGATCTACATTAAGAAAATTAAATGTTACAATTTATATCAGTACTCTCGATCAAGCTTTGCAATTATTAAGCTAAGAATATTGCGAGAATGTGTTCCTATATTATATAATGAAGGACATTTTTTTCATCCTTAGGACCTCTGTAAGCACACAGTGAGCGTTAGATCTTAAATTTACCTTCACTGAGTTACATTTTCTTCAGCAGTAAAAGAACTCGTAGTAAAACTCTAATAGCCCATTATATTAATACACTTCATCCATAGATCATATACATGTACATATCTAATGTATTTTGCAATATAGCAATATGATAATTCAATATCATCAAACATTTTCATGGTCCAGATTGGCTTCTCCTAGATGTCCATCTATCTCAGTTCTGTATGTGACCTTACTTCTCATAGCAATCCTAGTGATGGAAAACAGTAAAATGTAGAGTTGATCTTCTATGCATGGACATCATTATCTGTTATTTCCGGAAGGGATCATTGTGCTCTGTGTGGCTGTCACTATTTTGCTGGTAGCAGTGTTGATAAAATAGGATGATAGGTCCCAATGGTTAACTACGTGTGACAAAATGGTTGCAGCAATTACAATGCTTCAGCATTGTAACTGGAATGCTTCCTATTAAATAAACTCATCGAAGAACCACTGTAGTGAAAGATATTGTATTCTGGGGCTAATACCTATAATAGTAATATTTTGTATAAGTAATCCTTTCTTTTTTAGTTTCACATGTCTTTATTTACATTTTCTCCACAGTTACATGCAGACCAAACTGTACAGGTACAGGGCAGTAACAGTGGTTAGGACAAGCTATATAACCCAGCCTAGAGTGCTTACAATGAGCAGATTTTATTCTCATAGGAAAAAAAAAACAGCTGTATCTGTTTAAAAAGTATTCACCGGAGTTGGGATTTACTTTGTTGCTTACTTAAAGTGCATTTAAAAGTCCATTTAACACTACATTTCCATCCAAAGACTTCTCTGTCCACAGGGTGACATAATCTCATTACAGAACTAAGTGTTGTCACCCTGTTAAAGTTAGTCGAAAAATAATGCATCTACTAGCAGGATCAACAGAAATAAAATAAAACTATGTTACAGGAGGGAAACAGAAAAACAAAAGATGGTGTGGTAATGCTTATGACAGGCTAAATCATATATGTCATGTTTTATCTTGCTCATAATTTGACTTGAACAATTACAGCATAGTAATGGGACTGTGTGGACCCCTCAGATTTGCCTTGCCCTCTTTCTAGTATGAATCCAAATAAGATTCAGTCATACTGTTTTTTTAAAGGATTAGGGTTGTACTTATAAACCATTCACACAGCAAACAGTTCTGCAACTGAGATGTCTCACTTCACTTCAGATCGGTCATTCACTCGGCTGCCCTCGGCAGCTTCGTGAATAGACCCCTTAGTTTACAGAGCTATTCACTGTGTGAATGGCTTATGAATACACCGCTAAGTGTAAAGACATAAAAAGTGTTGCATTCACAGCTTTGCCCTTTATGAGGGCTTCTATAGAAGGGAAGACCCAGCATGGGATAGTTGAAACATGAATATCCCTTTGGATTATTTTATAAGGCTTTATTTTTAAGTAAATAGACATCCAATGTACGTTTAGTACTTTAATTGTGTCAGGTTAAAAGGGTATGCAGTGAAAAGGACTTATTTACCTATTAACTAAGGAGAGGTAATTAACATACATAATGGGCAATGCTCAAAACCTTCTGATGACTGCACAGCCATTTGAAAAAAAGTGTGTTACAATGCCTGGTACCCATGAAATCTGGCTGCAGTTTGTGGGATAGGAGTAACTTATTTAGGACCTCTTTTGATGCACCTGTTTGGCAGTGACAACAGGACCACAGGAGTTGGCATCAGCATGATGGGGGTAAGATGGGTGTAGACAGAGATGACACTACAGTCAGGGGAACACCTGCTTCTTCACTTGGTGCATATCTGGTGGAAGAAAACTACAGGAAAAGATCCGGCATCCAGTTAACAGCTGATATCAGCAGATATCCACCAGCCATGAACTAGTCAAATCCAGGTCAAAACTAAGAATTGGTGAATTGATTTGCTCATCTTTACTTTCAAATATGATTGAAACACTCTATTCTGTTCCTGGTTTATTAATAAAGATTCAGTTTTAAGAAAGATGATAGATAGTCAATCCATTTTAGGAGGGAGGTGGATATTATTATAATTAATAACTCCTCTCCATGAGTTCATAAAGAATCACTGACCAACGGAAATTTGGAGCAATTTGTATTCATCTCAGACAGGGCACAGTAATTCAGACATGTGAGTGGGAAGTGGTTCATTACAATGCATGGCTCCCCTGCCGACTCAGAGCCTAGTCTCATCAGTCTTGTGGATAATAAAAAAAAAACAGAAGTGTTATAGTTCACAGTTCCTTTCAGGCTGCACTCTTCATTCCATGCAGGTACAAATACTTGGCTTTCTGCACATACTGCATAAAAGCACAAGGCCACCTGCATCAAGAGTGGGCTCATTAAAAACACTTTCCTTTTTCTCTACAGCATCTTCCTATCGACCTGTTAGGATAAACACATTTTGTGATGTTGCATTAAAAAGCATCCTTCTTTGTTTAAACCTATACTTCAGTAAGTGCTGGATGTTTATGCAGTTTCTACCGTAGGTTTGGCTCAAATGGGCGTGTAACTACATGGATAACTAGGGGCAATGGGCAGTTTAAAAAAGTACCTGTGGAGTATACAATTACCAAAGCAAGCTAAGCTCATATTTCATTACAAAAAAAATGTAAGGGCTGGCAACTTGTGCAATAGCCTCACACACCTGGGCCCCAGTGCAGGATATGAGCCAGGGGGCCAAACATTCAAACTCATATCCACTGCTTTAGACTTAACATCCCAAATCCCAGATCTAATCCCAAATCCCTATAATGTTTCGGCAACTAACATGCCCGGCCCATGACCTATGGCATAAGAACCCAATTCCATATAACTCCTTCTCTGCAACAGACCCCCTTAATTCATAAAGTCCTGGTCCTAAATGCAGACAGATAAAGTTAATTGTATATCTTGACTTTATATGTAAAAGTAACACGTGGGCCTGTACCCTCCAACCCCTTGAACTTCCACAATTGGCTTTTTTTAAGTGATGTACAAATTCACTGACTAATAGCTCAGTTGCAGCGGGGTTTATTGCATTGTACTGTGTCATTCTGTGTAAGCGCCTGTTCTGGGCTCAGCTTACTGCGTACCAATTTTCTTCTCAGGTTCAGTGGTTGCTTGAATGCTAGTATTGGGGGCTGAGGGAATATTTCTTTAAGTATGGGGTCTTCTGAGAGTACTGGCTGTAGATCTTTGATTATTTTGCATATTACCTCTAGAGTAGGGTTGTAGGTAACTACAAGAGGGGTCCTGGTTTGGTTTTTCTTCTCTTTGTACTGTAGCAGTCTTTCCTGTGGTGTTCTTAGGGCAGATTTAATCTTTTTAGAAATAGTCTTTTCCCTATAGCCCTTTCGCCGAAATGCATCAGCCAGTGCATGTGAATGAGTAACCTTGTTTGCTCACTACACTCTATTTAGTAGAACTGCAGAATGAATGTCCTTCACTGCTTATTTTTTTAAGTGAAAGCTAATCACATTCCATGTGACATCTCACTACTAGTAGGAACATTGAAAAGCATGTATATAAAATACACGTGACAAAAATATGTACCCAGTTAATATGAACAATTGCAAAAACTACATGCCCATTTTTGTCTGGCCATTAGAGCTTATTTGTAGTTGCAACCCCTGAAATAGGCTGCCTGCATTTCCTGATTCCTGCATTAGGATTAAACATTTTTTTAATGGATAGCAGATTTGATCCTTCAGTGGTTTCTCTTATTTTTCAGGAACTTCACCCACATTATGAGAGGGTCACAATGTTCCCTGCTGATATTTTCATGCCATGGAAACAGCAGCTGTACGTTTTGGAACGGAACAAGGAGATCTCACCTCTGGAGTCTTAAAGCCAGTGAGTGATTCAGCTTCCTGCGTAAACACGTTGCTGAAATATACTATGTAACACAAAGTATGTAGACACCTGAACATCACATCTATCTAGATGGACAAAAGCATGTGAACATCCTTCCAAACTATTAAGTTCTGTTCTGGTATTTATAGTGAAGTGTACTGTTAATAGTTCAGAACAGAATTACATTTTAGACAACCGTGTGCTTCCAACCTTATGACCAAGGTTTGGTGGAGGCCCTTTTCTGTTCCAGCACAACTGTGGTTTGATGAGTTTGGAGTGGAGTAGGTCCCCTGTGGCCTTCACGGAGCCCTGACCTTAACCCTACTTAACACCTTTGGGATGAATTTGAATGTGATTTGCCAGCCGGGTCTTTTTCAGTACCATTAGTACCTGATCACAAATTCTCTTTTGAAAGGGCACATATATCCACAGACACACTCCAATATCCTGTAGAAATCCTTCCTAAGATACTGGAGCCTCTTCTAGCCACACATTGTGGAGCAACGCCATATAATGCAATAATACTCATGGGTTTGAAATAGGTTGTTCAACAAGCTCATGTAGATTTGATTATCAGGTGTCCACAAACTGTTGTCCATATAATGTATTAGTTTTGGGTCAGTTGATGTTGTAATTCAGTTCTAATAACCTTTCATCAAATGCGTTCTATTAGGTAATGTTTGTCAAAGATTGTACAGAAATAACTATGATTACAATACGTGATTTTACTACTCCTATTATAAAACAAGCTATAGAACAGAATACAGAATATTTTTTTTTAAATACATTTGCCTTTACTATTCTTGACACTATTGAATTACACTCAGTTGCGCTCTCCCAGTAAGGAAGGGAACAAGTGAATTGCATTTAAGAAAGAAATTGCTATCGATCCTCACCTAAGACACATCATGACTTGCATCTCAAATCACTGCCACTATCTTGCCATCAAGGGATAATTAATGTGTAGCCACTGTCCCTATCTTACATCATTATCCATCCGTATACGGCTCTATTGGGGCACATTTCCTCCATCGTTACCTTTTTTATTGATGCAAATCTGATAAATCATGATGCTGTTAGAACTTTTGTAAACATGTCTAAATTGATGACTAATGGTTGCAATGGATGTAACAGTGTGAAAAAGCAGAAATATTATTGAAGTCCTCCTGGAATTTTGCAGAAAATTATATCTTTTAGATGAGGAAGGAACAGAAGGTTTAAGGCAGCAACCTTGTTTTTAATTGAAGTCATGAAGGTCTTAGTGTATATAGGGGGGTTTTGCCTCCCTTCATATATACCAATTGCATGACAGATCCAACAGGGTTAGGTTGAAGAAACATTTTGTGCAACGTATAGTGTTTTTTGAGATCTTCAACGGCAGCCTTTTCAGCTTAGCTCTACTACAATCAAGCCCGGGGTGCCGGCACCCTAAGGTGCTCTAATATGCAACTTAACTTTGACACTCACCCCGTCCTTCCTTCTGCATCTTCCTATTGACGTACCACTATGATGTTTAGTTTTTTGGTAACTAGGTAGTTGTGGGAGGCAGCTGGGAGTGAGAAAGCTCATGACACTGTTTGGATTTTAGAGCTTCCAAACATTTAGGACACTCTGGATGCTGGAGAAGGCATCTAAATATATGTGAAAGCTGCACTATGTGTCTGGATTTAAGTGCTGTGGCCCCTTTAGAAATATTGCTGAAGTGACAATGTCATATATTTAAACCTTCAAGTGTGTTACCAGACCTCAATAAATTGGAGTGGAGGGAGGAGGTACTTAGGTGGACTAAGAAGAGATAATACCCCATGGCAGGCATTTCCAATGTAGTGTTCTTCAGAGCCAGTCCCATAATTACACAGGAGGCTGGACAGTAGTTTTGTATATATGTAAAGTTCCTGCCCCTGAATATTCTTTACCCTCCTTAAAAATGCACCTAAACTAAAAAAATGAATACCAGCTGGGTTATAGGAAACAGGAGGACTGAGCTGTCATCTTGCAAACACTGCTGGCCCCAGTGATTGCACTCTCCCTATGCATAGGGCTGTGTACTAAGCACCCTACCTATAGTTGCATGTGAGTTTAGTACCACTTTTGGTTTTCATGCGAATAAGTGTGTTTTATTGCACTAGATCTATGTGCTTTTTTTCTTTTCTTTAACCTCTTGCCGTCCGCCCGTAGTAAAAAAACAGACGGACGGCACTGCTGCATTTGCGGGTTGCCGTCTCCATACGGCAATTTTGCGCTGAATACTGAAAAATGGCCTGGATGGGAAGGTGGTTTAACACCCCGGACTTCAAGTGGTTAAAGTGACATTGCAAGGGAATCTGCACTTTGCAAGGGAATTTCCCTTAGTTTAGTGGATCATCACGCAATCATGCGCAAGCAAAAATACAGGGTTTTAAAAAAAAATGTTCTTGCATTTAAAAAAGTATTACTTGCAAACTGCATTTTCACCACATTCACTAAGCAAGGGGAAATTCCTTGCAATGTGCACAGCCTATTTGAACAACCCCTAAGTGTCAGGTTAAGCTATGGGGTCAGGAGATTTGTGTGGAAGACATCTTTTTAAAACTTGCTTTCAGTCACAAAAACCAAACACTGGGTTCTTGGTTCCAAAAATCAACATAAAACACTTTAGATATCTGTATTCCTTTTGCTTGTCCTTACTAAGAAAGCAAATCCTAGAAGAACTGATACTGAAATATCACTGAGAAGAGACCACATTGCCTTGTGCCCAGCACTCACTCTAAATACTTTTTACATTTTTTGACCCCCCCTTCTTAGTGCTGAATGAGTTCAGAAACACTTATAATATCTTGGTGGGACATGATACAGGATACGGAGAAAGTGTGCATTGGTATACTTGTAAGTATATTGTTCAAAACATTTTGAAACTGTACATATTGTAAGATTTGGACAAACTAAAGGTGGGGTTTAGGTTTTTTAAATGTTAGGGGTGGTAATGGTCCTGTCCAAAGTGAATGATAAGAATTCCTAAATTTTATTTGTAATTAAAGAGATAATTTTATTATGCCCTCTGGTGAGAGGTCATTACATAAGCTGCTGGTTCACGCATTTTACACTTAGCAAGTGAACTTAGCTGATCTACCGTTTAAAAAAAAAAGATTTAACATGGTTAGAGAGCTATGTTTTTCTTCTGTTCATCACCAGGGAAGAGAAAAAAAAAGTTTTTCTATAATTAAATTGCTGACTGTATCAATTGTTCTTCCAAACTCTGAAAATATCTCATTCAAAGGGGCTAATGGGATCGTCAATTAATCTAAGAGGAATTAATTGCATATTGTTGCAAGTGATTTAGAGACACTAGATTCATTTACCTCACACACAGCAAGACACTTGAATTGGGCAAGCATTCCCCCTTACCTGCACACTACATCAAGACTCATTATAAACTCTCAGCAATAAATATAAAAAGCTGATTATTGTAATTCATCAATTATCCATCATTAGCCCGCATGCCTATATATGAATGTAACAAACATCTTAATTCTTTTGAAAATATCTTTAAACTTAGAAATAGTGGAGCTATTTGAAAACCCAATCATATTTTCAATGCTGCCTACCACTTCACAAAATAGTTTCTACTACTTTATGTATTATGGAAGATTGCCCCCAAATTGACATGGATACTATAAAAAAACAACAACAATGTTTACCTTTTATAAAGTAGGGATCATTGACTTTGATACTCTTGTTTTATTGAAAAGGAAATTAGGTTGGTTTGCTCTGCACCCACCAAAAAAGATGGCCCATGTGTAGACCATGGTATCGGATCATGAATAATGCAAAGCTCAGAGTATATGTCAAAGTCTGTCAATTTTGGTACAACTGCAAAATTTGCAAAATTACTAGCCATCAGTGAGATTTTGCAGAAACTGAAAGTTTGCTTGCAAAAAGAAACAATCTCTTTTTTTAATATATATATTTATAAGATAAGTTTAATTTTAAAAATTAGGCTAATGAGGAACCTTTCCAGGATAGATGAAATGAACTTCTGCAACCCTCAAGAGCCATTTAAAACCCACAGCACCCTTAAAAAATGCCATCATTTTGCTTTCCTCTTTGACCTTTGGCTTTTCACCAAAATTGCAATATTTTGCTGAAATCTCCTGATTTTTGTCTCATCCCTAATAAGGATTGATGTGAATTAACTGATGATAGTAGCATATACATAATTAGTTTTAAGTTTGCCTTTTTATTACTGTTTTTAAGGTAAACATTATAGTTGAGTACTGTGTGTGACACTTTGATTATTTACACTAACAGTGTACCTCTTCTAAGTTCCAAGAATACACAATGGTTTTAGCAAAATGTTAAGAAGAAATCTGCAGGACAACAATCTCTGAAAAAAACCAACAATTACTCAGGGTAATCAAAGTAAGCAAGTTGGTCAGATAAAGAGAGAAGGGAACTGTGGAATGAGAGGGAGGGGGGAGAGTCGCAGAGGTGAGAATGGTCAAAATTAGCGATATAGAAAACTGAGGTCCACATTCAGTCTGTTACTTCTTGTGTCTCTAAGCTAAACATTTAAATAATAACGTACTCAATTAACATACTTCTCCTTTAAGGGCAACACAGCCAATGGAGGACCCTGTATCATATTCTTACAAGAATGCTGAAACCTATTTACTTTGAATCTGCTCAGGTGTCCTGCAAATGAGCTCTAGCAAATGGCATTTGGTAAAAAAGAGTGTGTTGCCTAATGGAAAAATCTTGTTCAACTCCAAACCATGTTCTAGATTCAGCCAGTTTTATGTCTCATGCTGTGCATTCCTGCCTTCATCATCCAACAGCTCACCTCTACCTGGTACAGTGTGGAAATAACACTGAAGTCTGAAGAAAATGTCTTATTCCTCGGCAGAGGGGCACAAAGGCCCTTGGGGCTTAGATGTTAATTCAAGTTACTGTTCTTCTTCACTGAAAAAACATTACTAAGAACTTTGCTTTCTCTAATATTTGAAAGCAGTCCTGGGACCAGCACTGTACTTCGTCCTTCCTTGAAGCAGCTCTTTTGTAAAAAGAACAAACTTCATGAGTATTGAGCTGTTTTTGGAATATGAAAACAACAACACTACAATACTTAGAAAATGTACGCAAAAACTGTTACCTTTAGTATAACATGGCTTTTTGACATGGCCATCAGTGGACTTTAGCCTTCTGTCCTCCCCTGAGAGGTGCCTCATGGTTGGATCGTCGCAAGGTCTCATGCTGTCTCTCCTTCCAGCTTCCATGGCCATTTTCTCCCTCATTGCCTTTGCTCTCTCACTTTCCAGGGCTATGGCTTTTTCTAGCAGTGTCAGATTACCCTTTGTCATATCAAAGACATCTTCTGACCTGTCTGAGGTGATGGAGGTAGTTTCATCATCTCTTTCATTGTACTCATCGTCTTTTGCACAGCTAGAAAAAGTTCTTGATCTAGGACTCAACTGTTCTTCAAGTCTCATCAAGTTCATCATGTCAGAGTAATTCCTGTCCGGTAATCGGTCGGAATAGTCTTCCTCTGCTCTGGGCATTCTCATGCCCATAGCTTGCTGTTGATTTCTATCATGGGAATTAGTTTCACTAAGTTTCCGTGCAAGGTCGAAACATTGGTTCCGTAAGCATTCTAAACTGCTCAGACACACCTCCTCATCACTCTCCTCCACCATTTTCTCTGCATGTCCATTATTCGTAGGCCTTCCTAACATCAAATAGTTCATATTCCTGGAGTCTTCCTGGGATGTGATGTCAATATAATTCCTATCATTGAGGTTATCAGAAAGCACTACACCGTGTCCTTGTGCCAGCAGTTTGAGGGAATCCACAGTTTCCCTAACAACATCACTGTCCAAGTCTAAACTAAGCTCCGTCTTTCGTCCCACGTTCTCATTCTTGTCACTGTCGTCCTCCAAGCTATTGGATGTATTGCTGTTCATTTCGGATTCTGTCCTGGCTCTGTATGCTGCATCCTCCGCTATTTTGCCAAGATTCAACAACGACTTGGCTACCAGTTCATCATAATTATCGTATTCATCGTTATTGTTATCATCCTTCTCTGTGTCGTGCATTGTTCGAGAGCTGTGACAATCCATTGAGTGATTGTCTAAAAAGCAAACAGAGAGAGAGAGAGAGAGAGAGAGAGAGAAAGAGGGGTAGCTAGAACACTGAGCAACATTTCTGAGTGAGCTAGTAAAAACTTAGCTTATATGACAATCCGATCACTTGCTTTAAACCATCTATATTGTTGTAAACATAGTTATGCTGCATTTTTTATAATAAATCCGCAGTACAATTTCTCACTATTTATTTTAGGGTCTATTTAGTCTTCTGGATCATCTATAAACAAACTGTTTCAGCTCTGTTTTGGTTTTATGAAATGTGTTCTTGTAGGTTAATCTTTACTGTGGCTAATGAAAAGCATGTCCAAACTGGTGCATGAAGCACCTTGTAAGCTGGCTACCTAATGTGCTGTGGTGCTTGTGCTGCACTGTGTATGGTTCCTGCACTAATATTGAGCAGCAAAGTAGATGCTCCTTATAATGTGCGAACATGCAGGAGGAAAATGCAGAGAAAAAGAAAACTTTGACCACAGTAACTAACAGTATTATCCAAATCCTGGTAATCTCCTATTGAATTATGGGAAGTAAGCATTTTTCCTGATTTAGACCTCTTCTCTTATAAAAAAAAGATAAAGTGGGTGCATTTCTGTCACATGTATAGGATTGGGGTACCAACATACTCCTTTTATTACTGACAAATATACATTTGCCAGGTTATTTAGCTATGGCCTCTATACATACCTCCCGACTTCCTGAGATGAGAAAGAGGGACACCTTTCTGCACAATGTATTTAGGCAATGGAGACACTCCTGTTACACCCCAAGTTGTGCGGACCATTAAGAATTTATATGCCAAAAAGGATTGGTTAAACCCAGAATATTTTTTTTTCACCATTACTTTTCTTTCGTATTGGCTTGTGTAAAATAGCAATCATGATGAAGAGATAGGGTGAAGGATTCAGTGTATTATAACACTTTTGGTAGTTAAGGTAAATAGTACATTTTCTTAGATATCTCTACTTTAGACCAAAAAGAGGGAAATTTGAGGAGGAACGAGGGACAGAAAGATTTGGGTCCAAATGAAGGACAGCTTGGAGGTATGAGTATAGTTTAGACTTGTCAGTAATAAAAGAAATTATTCAACAACCATTCCTGTTAGGACCATGCAATCCAACTTAGAAAGTAAGTTTCTTCATAGAAAGCATTGTCTCTTTTCAAACTCAATAGGGTTATATCACGTGATTAGCATAGATACCAACACTGTTTGTGCTTACAAGTGGACACCCCAAGGAGTTCTGACACACCACATATTTCCACCACCTTCGTGCTCAATAGAAATGTGCTTCCTGGAAAGTAGGTTGGCAGAAGATGTTCCAGAACTCTATACTGAGGGTGCAGCTGAAATTTTAAATTGGGCCTGAACTCAAAAAGTAAAGTTTTGCTATCTTTTAGGGAATATAATTAATGGTTAATTGTGCCTAAGCCTACCTTTAGTCTTTTTAAGGAACAGTAGTGCACTTTCTGACATGTGGCTGTGCTTAAACACTCCTGCTCAGTACCCAAAGTAGCTGCCTATCTGCACTGTGAGAATTAAAGCTGGCCATACATCATACAGTTTGTGCACATTTACCAAAACTCTGCAAAATAAGGACATGCCTAAACAACCCTTTTATTTTCTATCAAATCAACTATGCCCTATACACTGCATAGTTGATAATAGTTTAAAAGGACATTGCACAATCAGATTGTATGGCATATAGTCAGCTTTAGGGCATTGCACCTCTGACTTCTAGTTTCACTGGATTTAGAGTGAGATTAGGTAAAAACACGATCTCATGATCACTGTTTCCTTACTGGAGAGAAAGCTGTAACTAAGGTACTACAGTGAAGTAGATCTGTGTTCAACCAGTCCTGCCTTTACTTGAATATTCCCCCACCAGTCATTAGATCCCCAGAGATCTGTGACATGACCTCCTCCACATAGAAACACTGTGAGAAACCCAGCATAGTAAATCGGTAATGGGGAAAAGATCAGCTTCAAGCAGCCTACCAGCCTTAGGCACAGCTTTCACAATACAGGTTTTCATTAAATGACCGAGGACAAGCATGCAGTGACCCGAGTAAGAGTAAAGTCAGTACTCCTGGTCAGCATACTCATTGCGGGTCAGTGACTAATACGGGGAAAATTCTGTGGACACAGGATCAGCCAGGTAACTAACGTTTTAAATAAGAGAATAGTTAGTAATGACAACTTCTATATTTCTCTCGGGACGTGTTTCCTATACGTATTGCTACTACTTGAGACTTATGTATAATAATGTAATAATGTAACATACTACAGATGCATGTGAATAGGAGCGTGGAAGACAGCTTTGCAGAGTTTTTCTTAACTGTCATTATGAATTGATATTTTATATGTTGCTTTAAAATAACTACAACTTTCATATCTCTGTGTAATCCTCCAATAATAAAATACATGCTTTGATATGTTTTCATTAGGCTTTATACATGTTAGAAAAGATATATATTTTTAACAATATAGTTTGTAAATGTAACAATCTTTAGTGAGCATATTTAAAGCTGAACTCCAGATGGACAGCTTACTACACTAAAGAAATTGACATATGGAAGATAAATTACCAGCATAAGGATATGTATGTCTGGTCATCCATTTGTGAGATTTACACAGCTCTGTAACAAAGCGCAGCCCTATCTGGCAGGGTAAAATACCTGGTTTTCCTCTGCTGTATATCCAAAACCGAAACTTTTTTTCTGTGTCCCATGTGAGAGATTTCCCTATATATCATGTTCTGTACATATAACAGGAAGTGAGAGGAAATCTCTCCAAAGAGAAATAAATCCACTGTTAGCTAGTTGTCACAGAAACGAGTCTTCCTCTCTATTCCTGTTCCTGTAACACATCTTTAGGATTTTCTCTCACCTTTGGTCCTGGTGGCAATGGTGACCAGAAAAAACAGAGAGGGTGACTCTCCCTTACAAGGACGCACACCAACCAATTCTATCCAAAACTAAGTAAGAAAGGATTTGGCTTTAGATACACTTTAAGTAACACTTACAAATCTTGACCCTCCCCCTGTCTGTGATTGGACACATAAAGAAGAGACAGCAGACTGATGGGCTCATATCTCTGCCACTCCATTCTCCCCTCCTATATGCAGGTTCTTTGTTAGTACATGGGCATTCGAGAATAACTGATTGGGTCCTGCCCCTTTCTCTCTCAGTTTAAGCCCCCATTCAAAACTCAATGGGGCATATTGAAGGTGATTTTGGAGCTTGTTTTGTTCTTTTATTAGTCATTTTAAGGATTGAGCATTTTTGTTTTAGCCATTGGAAAGGCTGGTTCATAGGAGGACAGAGTTGTAAGGTGCAAAAGCATTTGTAAAGAATATTCATGTACTCCCAATATCCTCTGTGGTTCAAAAAACTTGCAATTATCACTGCAAAGAACATCATGTACTTTTTGAGCTACAAGTGTCAAACTACAATTAACACAGTGCTCAGATGTGAACAGGTATCATTGAAGATAATGGGATTCTTCATGATGAGTCTTTTCACACAACAAAACGCCCAGGTATGAATCTGGGCTTAGTGCTGCTGTACAGATAACTACAAGAGGCTTTTAACAAGTAAAATTCAGGTACTTAAAGGAGAACTATGAGGTGAGTGATTTCCACTCATCCTCATAGTTATAGCCGACCTGCTACAAAGAAGCTGTCAAGGTTGGCTCTATTGATTGGGAAATGAACAGAAGCATGCAGCCAATCTGCCAACTTCCCGATCGTCTCCCCCTCTCCGATCCTCCAGCCCTGATTGGAGGAATGAATGGGGGGAGGGGGCGGGCACAGCTGGCTCTGCTACTAGATAAGCAGAGCCAGCTGTCACTCACGCACATGGGTGGATCCAGACAGTATTATCGGGATCTGTCCTGGCTGCAGCATTCCCAATATATCGCGGGCAATAACCCGCTATATACTGAGCTTTGGGTCACGGGAGGAGGTTAGTATATGTCCTCACGTGACCCTAAAGAGAACTATGGGGAAAAAGACTTACCCCTAAGTTCTCTTTTAAACAGCTTACATTAAAAATAAAAATAATGTATTAATGAATACAGGGCTGCATTCATTTGCATCCATTATATCTGCTTGGAATTCAGCTTGTTTTAACACAGAGGTGGGAAGCGTCTGGACCACAGGCCATTTAAGGCCCATGAAATTATCTGGTCTGGCCCTCCGAGTTGCCTATCCACTGCATGCTAGTGTGATGCTGTAGACCGGAAAGGGTGATTCGCCTCTCCCCGCCTGCAGCGGTTTAGTCAGCTGTAAGCTCAGCACCATCCCCTGGTTATCTCTGCTGTGCCTGTGCACGGTGCATGCGTGCAACTTTGTGTCAGTGTGGCTGGCTGTATATGCCTGTTACTCCTGAGCAGCATCATGTGGAGTGCCTGAGCTGCTCAGCCCGCACTGACAGGCTGTAGCTGCTGGCTGAGATTCAGAGAGAGAGAGAGAGTCCTGTAATGTGTCCTCTGTAGAGGAGCGCCTTACATTATGTATGGATTTAGGTGAGTTTGTAAGAATGTTTGAACTGTTTGTTATCTTTCTTTCAGCACACTGGCAACGTGACATTGACTCCTGGTCCTAACCTGCAGCTAGTGGGGGGGAACGGTGTGTATGTGTGTGTGTGCGTATGTGTGTGTATCCTGGGGGGGTATTTCTGGGGAAGGGAGGGGGGGTGTATGTGTGTGTGTGTATGTGTGTGTGTGTATCCTGGGGGGGTTGTTCCTGGAGTATGTCCACTGGTGGATCCTGGGAGAGTATTGCTGGAGTGTGTCCTGGACAACCTGGAAAAGCAGCTGCAAGTAGCAACATCATGAATACCAGCTAACATCACATGCCTCACCAAAGAAAAGCAGTTCTAGCCATCACATTAGGGGTGGAAACACAGTATGTAGAAGAGTGCAACTACCTCAATAACTAAAATACATGAGTGGATAGACTATTGCTGTGCAGCCTGCTATAACTGACTG